CCACGTGGTTCTTCACCACAACCACCGCCACCCCCCATGGTTCTCCTCCACCACCCATGGTTCTCCTCCTCCCGTCCCCATGTCCCCCCACCACCACCACACGTGGTCCTTCTCCTCCTTCTCCTTCTCCTCTACCATCACTATGCATGGTCCTTCTCCTCCTCCTCCTCCACCACCACCACACATAGTTCTCCTTCTCCACCACCACTCTGTGTGGTCCTTCTCCTCCTCCTCCACCACCACACATGGTTCTCCTCCTCCACCACCACTATACTTGGTCCTTTTTCTCCTCCTCCACCACCACCACACGTGGTTCTTCACCACAACCACCACCACCACCACGTATGGTTCTCCTCCTCCCATCCCCGTGTCCCCCCCTCCCATCCCGTCGGGACTCACTTGTTGACGTTGCGTTTGAGGTTCTCCAGCTGCTGGCGCTCGGGGGCCGTGATCATCTCCTCGATCTCCTGCAGTTGGGCTTCCTCGGCGCCGGTGGCCTGCATGGACGCCAGGATGGCTTCCACCCGCTGCGACTTCTCCAGCAGCCTCCTGTGAGGAGGGGGACGGGGGACAGGGACACGGTGGCTTCGTTGTGTGTCCTCAGCTCCCCCCAAACCCACCCCCTCCCCGTCCTCACGACGCCTGGGCCCCCCCACACTCACTTGTTCTCCTTGGTCTCGTACTGACGCCGCTCCATCAGGTTGGCCACGCTCTGCAGGGGGGGGAGAAAGAGAAATGGGGTGGGGGGAACGACCAGCAAACCCCAAAATGGGTGGAGAAATGGGGACTTCGGTGCTGTCACCCCCAGGTGGCACCATCCAGGGTGGAGGAGGTGGTGTTACACCAAGCCATGTTGCCCCCGGGGCTGGGGGATGTGAGGGGACACGTTGGGGTGGCCCAACGGCCGCCTTCGCTCATGGGTGGTGGAGGAGAACCATGCATGGTGGTGGTGGTTGTGGTGAAGAACCAGGTGTGGTGGTGGAGGAAGAGAAGGAGAACCACGTATGGTGGTGGTAGAGGAGAAGAAGGACCACGTGTCATGGTGGTGGTGGTTGTGGTGAAGAACCACGTGTGGTGGTGGTGGAGGAGGAAAAGAAGAAGGAGAAGGACCACGTGTCATGGTGGTGGAGGAGCAGAAAAACCATGTGTGGTGGTGGAGGAGGAGGAGAACCATGCATGATGGAGGTGGTGATGCTGGAGGAGAACCACATGTGGTAAAAGGAGGAGGAGGAGGAGAACCATGCGTGGTGCTGGTGGAGGAAGAGGAAGAGGAGGAGAAGGACCACGTGTGATGGTGGTGGAGCAGCAGAAAATCCATGTGTGGTGGTGGAGGAGGAGGAGAACCATGCATGATGGAGGTGGTGATGCTGGAGGAGAACCACGTGTGGTGGTGGTAAAGGAGGAGGACAAGGAGGAGGAGAACCACGCATGGTGGTGGAGGAGGAGAAGAAGAACCATGTGTGGTGGTGGTGGAGGAGGACAACCATGCATCGTGGTGGCATGGTGGAGGAGGAGAACCACACGTGGTGATGATGGTGATGATGGTGGTGATGGAGAGCCACTGGGCTCCACTGCCTGGAGCAGGAGCACACTTGGGGGGGCCAGGCTTCCTCCATCTGGTGTGGATGGAGGCCAGATGGGGACCCAGCAGGGATGAGGCTGGTCCTGGTGGCATTTGGGGACAGGAGGAGGGAGAAGAGCCCCCCTGGTGGGTCTCGGGGAGCGTCCGTGGTGGTGGTGGGGCCGTACCTTGTAGCACCTGTGCAGCAGCATCCGCGCCGAGGCCGTGACGTTCACCGTGTAGAGGTAGAAGGTGCGGGACGGCGCGTGGTCAGGAGTCTTGGGGATCTCCTACAGGTGGGTGAGAGGAGGAGAAGGACTTCACCGGGCAGCACGGCCCCACGTTGGGGGGGGACAGAGCCCGTGTCCCACCCGGTGTCCCCAGTGTCCCACTGGGAAACCCCCCCGTCACCTGGAGGGAGACGAAATTCTCCGACAGCATTTTGTAGAGCATCTCCTTGGCTTCCTTGGCCGGGATCATGGCAAAATCCTCCACCTGCTTCTGCTCCAGGTGCTTCTTCCTCAGGAGGAGGCGGAAGATCCTGGCGCAGCGGGAGCCGAACCTGAGAGGGAGAGAGGAGAAAAAAGGGAAAGGACTCACCAGGGTGGGTGGAAGTGAGAAAAAACTCTGGAAATCTTTCAAATGGCCATCTTTTCTAACCTCTCCTCCACGATGGACTCCAGGGTGGCCGTGGCCAACGAGGCCAGGGCTTTGTGAAGATCTGGAGATGAGGGTCAAGGGGTGACAGTGACATTTGGGGACAGTTTCAAGCACTGGGGAGGGTGGTTCAACACAAAGGATACTGACTGTGTACATGCCCCCGCCGCTGTCCCCGGATTTCCCCACAAACTCCAGCTGCCGGGAGGAACACAAAGCTCAACACATCCCAAAACCCATGGTTCTCCTCCTCCCGTCCCCATGTCCCCCCACCACCACCACACGTGGTCCTTCTCCTCCTTCTCCTTCTCCTCCACCACCACTATGCATGGTCCTTCTCCTCCTCCTCCTCCACCACCACCACACATAGTTCTCCTTCTCCACCACCACTCTGTGTGGTCCTTCTCCTCCTCCTCCACCACCACACATGGTTCTCCTCCTCCACCACCACTATACTTGGTCCTTTTTCTCCTCCACCACCACCACCACACGTGGTTCTTCACCACAACCACCACCACCACCACGTATGGTTCTCCTCCTCCCATCCCCGTGTCCCCCCCTCCCATCCCGTCGGGACTCACTTGTTGACGTTGCGTTTGAGGTTCTCCAGCTGCTGGCGCTCGGGGGCCGTGATCATCTCCTCGATCTCCTGCAGTTGGGCTTCCTCGGCGCCGGTGGCCTGCATGGACGCCAGGATGGCTTCCACCCGCTGCGACTTCTCCAGCAGCCTCCTGTGAGGAGGGGGACGGGGGACAGGGACACGGTGGCTTCGTTGTGTGTCCTCAGCTCCCCCCAAACCCACCCCCTCCCCGTCCTCACGACGCCTGGGCCCCCCCACACTCACTTGTTCTCCTTGGTCTCGTACTGGCGCCGCTCCATCAGGTTGGCCACGCTCTGCAGGGGGGGGAGAAAGAGAAATGGGGTGGGGGGAACGACCAGCAAACCCCAAAATGGGTGGAGAAATGGGGACTTCGGTGCTGTCACCCCCAGGTGGCACCATCCAGGGTGGAGGAGGTGGTGTTACACCAAGCCATGTTGCCCCCGGGGCTGGGGGATGTGAGGGGACACGTTGGGGTGGCCCAACGGCCGCCTTCGCTCATGGGTGGTGGAGGAGAACCATGCATGGTGGTGGTGGTTGTGGTGAAGAACCAGGTGTGGTGGTGGAGGAAGAGAAGGAGAACCACGTATGGTGGTGGTAGAGGAGAAGAAGGACCACGTGTCATGGTGGTGGTGGTTGTGGTGAAGAACCACGTGTGGTGGTGGTGGAGGAGGAAAAGAAGAAGGAGAAGGACCACGTGTCATGGTGGTGGAGGAGCAGAAAAACCATGTGTGGTGGTGGAGGAGGAGGAGAAGGAGAACCATACATGGTGGTGGAGGAGGAGGAGGAGAAGGAGAAGAACCATGCATGATGGTGGTGGTGATGCTGGAGGAGAACCACATGTGGTAAAAGGAGGAGGAGGAGGAGAACCATGCGTGGTGCTGGTGGAGGAAGAGGAAGAGGAGGAGAAGGACCACGTGTGATGGTGGTGGAGCAGCAGAAAATCCATGTGTGGTGGTGGAGGAGGAGGAGAACCATGCATGATGGAGGTGGTGATGCTGGAGGAGAACCACGTGTGGTGGTGGTAAAGGAGGAGGACAAGGAGGAGGAGAACCACGCATGGTGGTGGAGGAGGAGAAGAAGAACCATGTGTGGTGGTGGTGGAGGAGGACAACCATGCATCGTGGTGGCATGGTGGAGGAGGAGAACCACACGTGGTGATGATGGTGATGATGGTGGTGATGGAGAGCCACTGGGCTCCACTGCCTGGAGCAGGAGCACACTTGGGGGGGCCAGGCTTCCTCCATCTGGTGTGGATGGAGGCCAGATGGGGACCCAGCAGGGATGAGGCTGGTCCTGGTGGCATTTGGGGACAGGAGGAGGGAGAAGAGCCCCTGGTGGGTATCGGGGAGCGTCCGTGGTGGTGGTGGGGCCGTACCTTGTAGCACCTGTGCAGCAGCATCCGCGCCGAGGCCGTGACGTTCACCGTGTAGAGGTAGAAGGTGCGGGACGGCGCGTGGTCAGGAGTCTTGGGGATCTCCTACAGGTGGGTGAGAGGAGGAGAAGGACTTCACCGGGCAGCACGGCCCCACGTTGGGGGGGGACAGAGCCCGTGTCCCACCCGGTGTCCCCAGTGTCCCACTGGGAAACCCCCCCGTCACCTGGAGGGAGACGAAATTCTCCGACAGCATTTTGTAGAGCATCTCCTTGGCTTCCTTGGCCGGGATCATGGCAAAATCCTCCACCTGCTTCTGCTCCAGGTGCTTCTTCCTCAGGAGGAGGCGGAAGATCCTGGCGCAGCGGGAGCCGAACCTGAGAGGGAGAGAGGAGAAAAAAGGGAAAGGACTCACCAGGGTGGGTGGAAGTGAGAAAAAACTCTGGAAATCTTTCAAATGGCCATCTTTTCTAACCTCTCCTCCACGATGGACTCCAGGGTGGCCGTGGCCAACGAGGCCAGGGCTTTGTGAAGATCTGGAGATGAGGGTCAAGGGGTGACAGTGACATTTGGGGACAGTTTCAAGCGCTGGGGAGGGTGGTCCCACACAAAGGATACTGACTGTGTACATGCCCCCGCCGCTGTCCCCGGATTTCCCCACAAACTCCAGCTGCCGGGAGGAACACAAAGCTCAACACATCCCAAAATCACCCCAAAATCTCCGTTTTAACAAGTAATACATAAATTTGACCCAAAAAACCCCCCATCTCCCATCTTCACAGCTTAAAAGCATCGCGCGTATCTTTTAACGCTTTTAAATATTGGTAGAAAAGTGGGTTTTTCCCCTCAATCCCAGCTCTCCCCGGGGAGGAGCCGCCAACGAGCGGCGTTTAACGACTTCGGGCAACGGAGTTTTAGGGTAGGAAGGACCACGAGGTGTTTCTCACCGGGTCGTCTGCCAAGAGGGTGAGATATTGGTCCAGAACCTGCTTCACGATGTTGTATCCGGCCGGGAGAGACCTGAAGATCTACAGGAGGAACAAAAAAAACCAAGAAAAGGGGAGTAAAATGGAATAAGTAGGGCTTTTTTTAAATGTACAGGGTTTTTTGGGGGGTTTTTGCGTGGAGAAAGGTCTCGGGGACAGGAACCCACCTCGTTGGAGGAGAGGGGTTGGGTGTAGGACGCGCCGGAGGACGTGGTGACTTCGCTCATGCGCAGCATCGTCCGCACTATTTCACTGCTGGTCTGTTTTTTTTGGGGGATTGGGAAGAAAACGGCCTTTGAGGTGGGAAAACCTCCAAGGGGGGCAGGGATAGACCCCCCCCCAAACCGTGATGACAACTCCTGCCCCGAGGTGGAAGGTTCTGAGGTGGCACCCACCTGGTCCATGCGGTTGGCGACGGCGCTGACGATGCCCTGGTCCCGGAAATGCTGGTGGAAGCGGTCGATGTTGACTTGCCAGTAAATGCCATCGTCGGGGGGGGGCTACAAAAGGGGGGGGACACAGAGAGAGAGAGGGGAGCCCCAAAAGTCAGGGAGTCGCAGAACGGAGGGGAAAAGGGCCCCAAAAGTGAGGGAAAAGGAGCCCCAAAAGTGAGGGAAAAGAGCCCCAAAACTGACGGAGACGAAACTCCAAAACGGAGGGAGTCTTGAAACAGATGGAAAAGGAGCCACAAAACATGGAAAAAGAGCCCCAAAACTTGAGGGAAAAGGAGCCCCAAAACATGGAAAAGGAGCCCCAAAAGGGAGGAAAAAGAAGCCCCAAAACTGGTGGTAAAGGAGCCACAAAACATGGAAAAGGAGCCCAAAAACTGAGGGAAAAGGAGCCCAAAACTGGTGGAAAAGGAGCCACAAAACATGGAAAAGGAGCCCCAAAAGTGAGGGAAAGGAGCCCCAAAAGTGAGGGAGTCTTGAAACAGATGGAAAAGGAGCCACCAAACATGGAAAAGGAGCCCCAAAACTGATGGAAAGGGAGCCCAAAAACTGAGGGAAAAGGAGCCTAGAAAAAAAGGGAAAGAACTCACCGGGGTGGGTGGAAGCAAGAAAAACTCCAAAATTCTTTCAAATCGCCATCTTTTCTAACCTCTCCTCCACGATGGACTCCAGGGTGGCCGTGGCCAACGACGCCAGGGCTTTGTGAAGATCTGGAGATGAGGGTCAAGGGGTGACAGTGACATTTGGGGACAGTTTCAAGCACTGGGGAGGGTGGTTCAACACAAAGGATACTGACTACATGGTTCTCCTCCTCCACCACCACTAAACTTGGTCTTTTTCTCCTCCTCCACCACCACCACCACACGTGGTTCTTCACCACAACCACCACCACCACCCATGGTTCTCCTCCACCACCCATGGTTCTCCTCCTCCCGTCCCCATGTCCCCCCACCACCACCACACGTGGTCCTTCTCCTCCTTCTCCTTCTCCTCCACCACCACTATGCATGGTCCTTCTCCTCCTCCTCCTCCACCACCACCACACATAGTTCTCCTTCTCCACCACCACTCTGTGTGGTCCTTCTCCTCCTCCTCCACCACCACTATACTTGGTCCTTTTTCTCCTCCTCCACCACCACCACACGTGGTTCTTCACCACAACCACCACCACCACCACGTATGGTTCTCCTCCTCCCATCCCCGTGTCCCCCCCTCCCATCCCGTCGGGACTCACTTGTTGACGTTGCGTTTGAGGTTCTCCAGCTGCTGGCGCTCGGGGGCCGTGATCATCTCCTCGATCTCCTGCAGTTGGGCTTCCTCGGCGCCGGTGGCCTGCATGGACGCCAGGATGGCTTCCACCCGCTGCGACTTCTCCAGCAGCCTCCTGTGAGGAGGGGGACGGGGGACAGGGACACGGTGGCTTCGTTGTGTGTCCTCAGCTCCCCCCAAACCCACCCCCTCCCCGTCCTCACGACGCCTGGGCCCCCCCACACTCACTTGTTCTCCTTGGTCTCGTACTGGCGCCGCTCCATCAGGTTGGCCACGCTCTGCAGGGGGGGGAGAAAGAGAAATGGGGTGGGGGGAACGACCAGCAAACCCCAAAATGGGTGGAGAAATGGGGACTTCGGTGCTGTCACCCCCAGGTGGCACCATCCAGGGTGGAGGAGGTGGTGTTACACCAAGCCATGTTGCCCCCGGGGCTGGGGGATGTGAGGGGACACGTTGGGGTGGCCCAACGGCCGCCTTCGCTCATGGGTGGTGGAGGAGAACCATGCATGGTGGTGGTGGTTGTGGTGAAGAACCAGGTGTGGTGGTGGAGGAAGAGAAGGAGAACCACGTATGGTGGTGGTAGAGGAGAAGAAGGACCACGTGTCATGGTGGTGGTGGTTGTGGTGAAGAACCACGTGTGGTGGTGGTGGAGGAGGAAAAGAAGAAGGAGAAGGACCACGTGTCATGGTGGTGGAGGAGCAGAAAAACCATGTGTGGTGGTGGAGGAGGAGGAGAAGGAGAACCATACATGGTGGTGGAGGAGGAGGAGGAGAAGGAGAAGAACCATGCATGATGGTGGTGGTGATGCTGGAGGAGAACCACATGTGGTAAAAGGAGGAGGAGGAGGAGAACCATGCGTGGTGCTGGTGGAGGAAGAGGAAGAGGAGGAGAAGGACCACGTGTGATGGTGGTGGAGCAGCAGAAAATCCATGTGTGGTGGTGGAGGAGGAGGAGAACCATGCATGATGGAGGTGGTGATGCTGGAGGAGAACCACGTGTGGTGGTGGTAAAGGAGGAGGACAAGGAGGAGGAGAACCACGCATGGTGGTGGAGGAGGAGAAGAAGAACCATGTGTGGTGGTGGTGGAGGAGGACAACCATGCATCGTGGTGGCATGGTGGAGGAGGAGAACCACACGTGGTGATGATGGTGATGATGGTGGTGATGGAGAGCCACTGGGCTCCACTGCCTGGAGCAGGAGCACACTTGGGGGGGCCAGGCTTCCTCCATCTGGTGTGGATGGAGGCCAGATGGGGACCCAGCAGGGATGAGGCTGGTCCTGGTGGCATTTGGGGACAGGAGGAGGGAGAAGAGCCCCTGGTGGGTATCGGGGAGCGTCCGTGGTGGTGGTGGGGCCGTACCTTGTAGCACCTGTGCAGCAGCATCCGCGCCGAGGCCGCGACGTTCACCGTGTAGAGGTAGAAGGTGCGGGACGGCGCGTGGTCAGGAGTCTTGGGGATCTCCTACAGGTGGGTGAGAGGAGGAGAAGGACTTCACCGGGCAGCACGGCCCCACGTTGGGGGGGGACAGAGCCCGTGTCCCACCCGGTGTCCCCAGTGTCCCACTGGGAAACCCCCCCGTCACCTGGAGGGAGACGAAATTCTCCGACAGCATTTTGTAGAGCATCTCCTTGGCTTCCTTGGCCGGGATCATGGCAAAATCCTCCACCTGCTTCTGCTCCAGGTGCTTCTTCCTCAGGAGGAGGCGGAAGATCCTGGCGCAGCGGGAGCCGAACCTGAGAGGGAGAGAGGAGAAAAAAGGGAAAGGACTCACCAGGGTGGGTGGAAGTGAGAAAAAACTCTGGAAATCTTTCAAATGGCCATCTTTTCTAACCTCTCCTCCACGATGGACTCCAGGGTGGCCGTGGCCAACGACGCCAGGGCTTTGTGAAGATCTGGAGATGAGGGTCAAGGGGTGACAGTGACATTTGGGGACAGTTTCAAGCACTGGGGAGGGTGGTTCAACACAAAGGATACTGACTGTGTACATGCCCCCGCCGCTGTCCCCGGATTTCCCCACAAACTCCAGCTGCCGGGAGGAACACAAAGCTCAACACATCCCAAAATCACCCCAAAATCTCCGTTTTAACAAGTAATACATAAATTTGACCCAAAAAACCCCCCATCTCCCATCTTCACAGCTTAAAAGCATCGCGCGTATCTTTTAACGCTTTTAAATATTGGTAGAAAAGTGGGTTTTTCCCCTCAATCCCAGCTCTCCCCGGGGAGGAGCCGCCAACGAGCGGCGTTTAACGACTTCGGGCAACGGAGTTTTAGGGTAGGAAGGACCACGAGGTGTTTCTCACCGGGTCATCTGCCAAGAGGGTGAGATACTGGTCCAGAACCTGCTTCACGATGTTGTATCCGGCCGGGAGAGACCTGAAGATCTACAGGAGGAACAAAAAAAACCAAGAAAAGGGGAGTAAAATGGAATAAGTAGGGCTTTTTTTAAATGTACAGGGTTTTTTGGGGGTTTGTTGCGTGGAGAAAGGTCTCGGGGGCAGGAACCCACCTCGTTGGAGGAGAGGGGTTGGGTGTAGGACGCGCCGGAGGACGTGGTGACTTCGCTCATGCGCAGCATCGTCCGCACTATTTCACTGCTGGTCTGTTTTTTTTGGGGGATTGGGAAGAAAACGGCCTTTGAGGTGGGAAAACCTCCAAGGGGGGCAGGGATAGACCCCCCCCCAAACCGTGATGACAACTCCTGCCCCGAGGTGGAAGGTTCTGAGGTGGCACCCACCTGGTCCATGCGGTTGGCGACGGCGCTGACGATGCCCTGGTCCCGGAAATGCTGGTGGAAGCGGTCGATGTTGACTTGCCAGTAAATGCCATCGTCGGGGGGGGGCTACAAAAGGGGGGGGACACAGAGAGAGAGAGGGGAGCCCCAAAAGTCAGGGAGTCGCAGAACGGAGGGGAAAAGGGCCCCAAAAGTGAGGGAAAAGGAGCCCCAAAAGTGAGGGAAAAGGAGCCCCAAAACTGACGGAGACGAAACTCCAAAACGGAGGGAGTCTTGAAACAGATGGAAAAGGAGCCACAAAACATGGAAAAAGAGCCCCAAAACTTGAGGGAAAAGGAGCCCCAAAACATGGAAAAGGAGCCCCAAAAGGGAGGAAAAAGAAGCCCCAAAACTGGTGGTAAAGGAGCCACAAAACATGGAAAAGGAGCCCAAAAACTGAGGGAAAAGGAGCCCAAAACTGGTGGAAAAGGAGCCACAAAACATGGAAAAGGAGCCCCAAAAGTGAGGGAAAGGAGCCCCAAAAGTGAGGGAGTCTTGAAACAGATGGAAAAGGAGCCACCAAACATGGAAAAGGAGCCCCAAAACTGATGGAAAGGGAGCCCAAAAACTGAGGGAAAAGGAGCCTAAAAACCGAGGGAAACGGAGCCCCAAAAGTGATGGAAAAGGAGCCCCAAAAGTGATGGAAAAGGAGCCCCAAAATTGAGGGAACCCCAAAACTGAGGGAGCTGCGAAACAGGTGGAAAAGGAGCCCCAAAACATGGAAAAGGAGCCCCAAAAGGGAGGGAAAAGGAGCCCCAAAACTGATGGAAAAGGAGACTCAAAACTGAGGGAGCCCCAAAACGGATGGAAAAGGAGCCCCAAAACACGGAAAAGGAGCCCAAAAACTTGAGGGAAAAGGAGCCCCAAAAGGGAGGGAAAAGGAGCCCCAAAAGGGAGGGAAAGGAGCCCCAAAAGTGACGGAGACGAAACTCCAAAACGGAGGGAGTCTTGAAACAGATGGAAAAGGAGCCACAAAACATGGAAAAAGAGCCCCAAAACTTGAGGGAAAAGGAGCCCCAAAACATGGAAAAGGAGCCCCAAAAGGGAGGAAAAAGAAGCCCCAAAACTGGTGGTAAAGGAGCCACAAAACATGGAAAAGGAGCCCAAAAACTGAGGGAAAAGGAGCCCAAAACTGGTGGAAAAGGAGCCACAAAACATGGAAAAGGAGCCCCAAAAGTGAGGGAAAGGAGCCCCAAAAGTGAGGGAGTCTTGAAACAGATGGAAAAGGAGCCACCAAACATGGAAAAGGAGCCCCAAAACTGATGGAAAGGGAGCCCAAAAACTGAGGGAAAAGGAGCCTAAAAACCGAGGGAAACGGAGCCCCAAAAGTGATGGAAAAGGAGCCCCAAAAGTGATGGAAAAGGAGCCCCAAAATTGAGGGAACCCCAAAACTGAGGGAGCTGCGAAACAGGTGGAAAAGGAGCCCCAAAACATGGAAAAGGAGCCCCAAAAGGGAGGGAAAAGGAGCCCCAAAACTGATGGAAAAGGAGACTCAAAACTGAGGGAGCCCCAAAACGGATGGAAAAGGAGCCCCAAAACACGGAAAAGGAGCCCAAAAACTTGAGGGAAAAGGAGCCCCAAAAGGGAGGGAAAGGAGCCCCAAAAGTGACGGAGACGAAACTCCAAAACGGAGGGAGTCTTGAAACAGATGGAAAAGGAGCCACAAAACATGGAAAAAGAGCCCCAAAACTTGAGGGAAAAGGAGCCCCAAAACATGGAAAAGGAGCCCCAAAAGGGAGGAAAAAGAAGCCCCAAAAGTGATGGAAAAGGATCCCTAAAACTGAGGGAGCCCCAAAACTGAGGAAAAAGGTGCCCCAAAACTACTTGTTTGGTTTCCCCAGGAGGAGGTGACTGGGAAGACGCTGGATCCCTTGAGCCCATGAAAGCCCTGAAACAGGTGGAAAAGGAACCAAAAACTGAGGGAAAAGGAGCCCCAAAACGGATGGAAAAGGATCCCCAAAACCCTAACCCTAAACATGGAAAAGGAGCCCCAAAAGGGAGGGAAAAGGAGCCACAAAAGTGATGGAAAAGGAGCCCCAAAACTGAGGGAGCCCCAAAACCAAGGAAAAAACTGGTGGAAAAGGAGCCACAAAACATGGAAAAGGAGCCCCAAAACATGGAAAAGGAGCCCAAAAACTGAGGGAAAAGGAGCCCCAAAATTGAGGGAACCCCAAAACTGAGGAAGCCCTGAAACAGGTGGAAAAGGAACCAAAAACTGAGGGAAAAGGAGCCCCAAAACGGATGGAAAAGGATCCCCAAAACCCTAACCCTAAACATGGAAAAGGAGCCCCAAAAGGGAGGGAAAAGGAGCCACAAAAGTGATGGAAAAGGAGCCCCAAAACTGAGGGAGCCCCAAAACCAAGGAAAAAGGAGCCCCAAAACTACTTGTTTGGTTTCCCCAGGAGGAGGTGACTGGGAAAATGCTGGATCCCTCGAGCCCATGAGCTCAGAGGAGGAGGAAGAGGAGGAAGAAAGAGCTCAGCCCTTGGCTGAGGGCACAGAGGCGCGTCCCCAGCAAAGCTCCATGGGGCACACGGGCACCCACGGAGCCACAGGCGACGTTCCTTCAGTACCTCCGAGCTTTCTCCCTCCTGCTTCTGCTTTTTAGCCTTGGGTTCACCCTCCTCTTCCTCGTCGCACGATCGTCTCCGCTTCCCTTTCCCTGCCAAGCCAAGATGATGGCATTGTCACAGTCTTGGGTGAAGAGCATGTGGTCAAGCCCTCCCCAAAGACCCCCCCAACCATCCCAACGTGACCCTGAGGGGCTTCTCACCGACGAGGTTCAGCCTGGGCACCACGTACATGTCCTTCTCGTTGATGACCAAGGTGGGGGCAGGGGGAGGGGGCGCATCAGGGCTCTGGGGGGTTTCGGGGACCATGGGGCACCTCTGCACGAAGTGGGTGTCCGCCAGGCGCACGAAGGTGGTGGAGACATCGGCGTAATCCATGGTCTTCCCATCTGGAGGAAGAGGAGAAGGACGGCGGCGTCAAGCTCTGTGGCTCCAGGAGATGAGGTGACACCACGGGACCCATCCAACAAGCTGCTGGGGGGCTGTTTTGGGGGTCGGGGGGGCAGCATTTATCACCCCTTTGGCAGTGAAGCCACTTGGGTGGCTCCTTCTCCAAGTTCATGGCCAGTAGCGTGGCCCAAATTGCCCCCAGTACAACATTCACCACGCAAAAATGGGAGTTGGACTAGATGATCTCTATGGTCCCTTCCAACTCTAAAAAATTCAGTGAAATTCAGTGAAATTCAGTGAAAACTGGCCTCTGGCAAACGCCGCTCCTCCTCCTCTGGCAAACGCTGCTCCTCCTCCCGCTCCCAAATCCCTGGTTTTTCATAGAAATCATAGAATCATAGAATCATTGAGGTTGGAAGAGACCCTTGGGATCATCGAGTCCAACCATCTCCCCTACTCTCCAAAGTCCTCCCCTACACCATGTCCCTCAGCACTGCATCTAAACGGCCCTTAAACACAGCCAGGGATGGGGACTCCACCCCCTCCCTGGGCAGCCTGTTCCAACGCCCGACCACTCTTTGGGTGAAAAATTCCTTCCTAATGTTCAAATGTTGGAGCTTGAAGCCGGGTTGTTGGTTTTTTTTTTTTAAGGGGAGAGGAGATTAAGTTAAGGAGATTTAAGTTTTGTTGGGTTTTTTTTTTTTAAGGGGAGAGGAGATTCCCACCTTCCATGGTCTCGGTCAACCTGTCGGCCACCTTCTTCACCACGGCGCTCATGGTCATCTTGCCGTTGAGGAGCAGCTCCTCCACGACGAGCTCGCCCGTGTCGCCGTAGAGGGTCTTGGCGGTGTAGATGTACCGGGGGTAGCGCAGGATCCTCAGGACCCGCTTGCACTGGGCCTCGTACTCCACGAAACCCCGTTTCTGCAGCTGGTACGTCACCAGGTTGTGTTGGATGAGGACACAAAGGGCTTTTTTAACCTGTCCGGGGCAGAGCAGGGCTTGGTTACGCCATGGAGAACCTCACAGCAGCCATGGAGGTCTTCCTCCCCAAGCAGCCACCGTTTTTCCCTGCTGTGACCCTCCCCAGTGCTGGTTTCTGGCACCATCTTGTCCCCCACGCGTCACCTCCACCCCTCTGGACTCTATTTGCTCCCTACGAAGAAGTTGGAGTTCTTTTAATCCTTCCCAAACTACTTCTCAACCATCTCTCCAACCAGGGAGATCATCCTGCCCCTCTGCTCTGCCCTGGGGAGGCCCCAGCTGGAGCACTGGGAGAGTTGGGAGGAGAGGAACCAGATGAAGTTCAACCAGGACAAGTGTCAGGTGCTGCCCCTCAGGAGGAAGAACCCCCCAAAACCAGGACAGGTTGGGGGTGATCTTGGAGTCCTGGGGGACAACAAGGATGCCCAGGAGCCAGCAATGGGCCCTGGTGGCCAAGGAGGCCAATGGCATCCTGGGGGGCATCAAGAAGAGCGTGGAGAACCTCAAGGGAGGTCATCCTGCCCCTCTGCTCTGCCCTGGGGAGGCCCCAGCTGGAGCACTGGGACCAGTCCTGGGCTCCCCAGTTCCAGAAGGACAGGGAAGTGCTGGAGAGGGTCCAGCAAAGGGCTACAAAGAGGATGCTGAGGGGCCTGGAGCATCTCTCTGGGGAGGAAAGGCTGAGGGACTTGGGGCTTTGGAGTCTGGAGAAGAGAAGGCTGAGGGGGGATCTGATCAAGGCCTGGAAATCCTTCCAGGGTGGGGGTCAGGAGGATGGGGCCAGGCTTTTTCCAGTGGTGCCCAGGGACAGGACAAGAGGGAACGGGCACAAAATTGAATATAAGAAGTTCCATCTCAACATGAGGAGGAACTTCTTTGCTATGAGGGTGGCAGAACCCTGGCAGAGGCTGCCCAGGGAGGTGGTGGGGTCTCCTTCTCTGGAGACATCCCAACCCCACCTGGATTTGATCCTGTGGGACCTGCTCTGGGTGACCCTGCTCTGGCAGGGGGTGGGAGGAGATGATCTCCAGAGGTCCCTTCCCACCCCAAATCATTCTGTGATTCTGTCTACAACCCACCGGGGGCTGGGCAGGGGTGTTCAGCACCCAGGTCCCAAAAAAATTCCCCCCTTCCCTGCGTATGAACAAAATAAACCAAACTAGGACTATTTTGAGTCCCACCAAAACTCAGCCCTGACTTCAGTCCCACCACGAGTCCCCTCACCCAGAACAGGGGTGGGTTTGGGAGACCAGGGGGGGATATTTCCATCTCACCCCCTCATCCTGCTGTGCCATCGACCACCAGAAAGGGCAAAAAAGCCCGATTTCCTTCGTGGCCGGCCCAAAATGTGCAGCTAGATGTCCTGGCTGGGGCTGATACCGGAGAGGTCCAGGCTGTGTCATCTCCCCGGGGGTGGGTTTGAGTCGTACCTGATCCAGCACCAGCCCCGTCTCGTTGACGATCATCCGCAGGGGCTGGGGACCCATCCTGATCAGGTAAGTCCCGATCTTCTCCACGATCTCCCCAAAATGTTCTTGCAGCAGGAGGGAACACAGCTTTATTTCCGCCTGAGTCATCTCGAGGGCAGATCCAACCACCCGGTGGTGCTGGGGGAAGAAGCGTTGGGGTTATTTTGGCTGTTTTTGGGGGGGGAGGCCACCCGGGGGACCCCATTTGTGCTCCCTCCAAAAAGGGGGGTCTGGTGGGAGACCCAGTCCCGAGTGAAACCCCCCCTGGGGCTGCAGTGGGGGTGAGTGGGGGGGGATGGATGCTGTGGCACACAGCTGGGCCCTCCCGGGGGATGGCAGCCTTGACACAGGGGGTCCCCTGTGTCCCCCCACCCAACGGGCAGCGGTGTCAGAGGGGTGGGGGTCCCTGTGTCCCCTCCCAGGGGGTGGCGGCCCCTCAGAGTGTACCTGTCCCCTCCCAGAGGGGGATGACGGCCCTGTCACAGGGGGGGGTCGCGGTCCCTGCGTCCCCTCCCACGCGCGACGCTCCCCCCACCCCACTCCCACGAGGGCTGGGATGGTTTCAGAGGGGTCGGAGTCGCTGTATCCCCTCCCGGGGGGGGCAGTCAGAGGGGTCCCGCCAGGCTCTCACTCACCCAGGCCCAACTTAGGCCCATGCGGCCACCATGGCAACCGGCACTTCCGCTTCTCCTCCCCGCTACTTCCGGTCGCCGCGCCTGGAGGACCGGGGGGGGGGGCGGGCGACGCTCTGCCCTCTCCGTCTCGTCGGGCCGAGGTGGCGCTCTGCCCACCCCACTCGCTGGTCGGGTTGGGAGCAGACGAGAAGACCGGAAGTTGGAGACTAGAGGGAAGCTTTCCGCCGGACGCTCTATCCCGCCAACCGCCGCCTCGCTGGCCCGGCGGAGGACTGACGGCAGGGAGCCGGCGGAGGCGGGGGAGAGAGAAGATGGCGGAGGCCTCGGCGGCGGCGGCGGCCGCCGTGTCCCAGCACCGCTTCTTCTGCCACAGCTGCAAAGGGGAGGTCAGCCCCAAGCTGCCGGTAAGGGGCTGGGGGCTGCGGCGG